AACCATTCCCCCATCCCTCACCACTCTCTTGGCAGGAAGCCTGATGGAGCCAATCCTGGTCACCTGCTCCACTGCAGAAGATTATGAAAAATGCCTCTTCCACCTGCAAAAGGTACTCGTCAGACATGGTTCCATTAGGCATGCGAAAGGTTAACCAGTTAACTGGGTGGGGACTGGAGCAGCCCCCTGCCCACCACAAGCAGGGGGTTGCTCCAGCCCCACGGGGCCTGCCACAGATGGGGCACTCTAGCTCAGCCGGAGCAGCCCCTGTCCGCAGCAGGCCTGGGTGCATCAGAGGCAGGGGTTGCTCCAGGGGACCACTTCAACCCAGCTATGGTGGGCAGGGGGAGGTAGATCCAGACTATCTGGGCTGAAGCATCCCCACTCTCCTCCTCCCTAATCTCCATATACCTTCTTCAAGTGGCTGTTGCTTTTCTAACCTGGGTCTTTCCCGACTTATGCACCCCTGCTCTCTATGGCTTATCTGCCTCCTATACCTCCTTCCCCCTCATGATTCAAAACTACTTACCACTCAGAGTGACCATTCAGTTCCTTGGAACTCAGCCTCTCCCCAAAGGATTCATCACTGGGGTATCACAATACCTTTGTCTAACTAGACAGTGTGTTTAACATCAGCCTCTCCGGCTGGCCCTCAAGAGCAGAGACCACTAGAAACTAAGAGCATCCTACGTTCTGTGGAGCATGTGAGGGGGACACCTGGCATACACTGAACATATTTGGGGTTCACAAAAAGTTGATGTGGGGGAGGCAACGTTTTAAAAGTAGAAACACTCTGAGCCCCTTGAGAACTTGGCTGAACCTTTTCCGAATGCTTAGAATCTTAAAAGTGCCTTAAGTCTTCCCAGAAGCATGACATTAATCTGCTGACGTTGATCTGTTCCAGCCCGAGGAAAACCTCGACACTGTGACTGTCCAGCCACCTCCCATGGTACCGAAGAAATCGCAGAAGCGTTAGAGCTGTGGAGCCTCTGGAAAAGGCTCGCACCCGGTGACAGCGCTGGTGGGGGAGGCTGAACTAAGCATGGTCTAAGCATGCTGCAGGAAGGAGCCCACCACTGGCAAAATTAGAAATGGACCTTCGGACTGTGCAAGCTGATTTGGGAGACTTTGGTCTGAACTTGCCCTGTGGGGTACAATTCCTGGCTGGACTTATCCATTTGTGCACAGATTAGCTGCTGTTCTCCACAACCTGTTGGAATCCCATGGACATCATCCCAGGGGGGAGAAAGCCTTCCTGGTTTGATCACTTTATTTATTGGCTGCTGCTTCTTGGAGAGAGAAATAATCTAAGGGATTGGGTAAAGATGAGGAATAAAACCCTTAAGCCCAAGCCTCAGCCTTGTGCAGGAAAGAGCATTCATGATAGAGAGTCAGAGTGTTTCAGGCTAGAAGGGCCGAATCATTGAGGACAGTGGCTCTCAAATCCACTCAAGGCAGACCTTTCTGTGGACCACCAGGCAACCACTGATGATGACAAAATGGGTGCAGGAGCAGGCTGGGTGGTCTGGCTGGGAGGGAGGGTGCAGAAGCAGGGTGGGAGTAGGGGAGGGTCTAACCAGGAGGCAGGTTGGGTGCAGGAGCAGGGTGGAGCATCTGGGTGAAAGGGAGGGTGCAGGAGTGTCCTGAAGGTGTGGGGGTCTCGGTGAGAGGGGGTGAGTGTGAGGGCAATGGGGGTGATGGGACTAGGCATGAGGGCGATGGGATGCACTTACCTGGCTTTATGCCGCCTCCTGCATCCAGGCACAGCTCCCCACTACTCCCATTGGCTGTGATTCTGGCCAATGGGAGCAGCAGAGAAAGCCTCCAGATGAGCAGTTTCCTGCGCTGCCATTCCCCCAGCTGGCCCGTTCCCTCCCCCCACAGCAAGAAGCGCTGGTGCTCTAACTTCGTGGGCATTGGGGGAAACATGCCAATGCAGGCTCCCTGCTGCAGAGGGGGTGAGGCCCTAGCCCACAGCCCACCTGCAAGATGGTGGCAGACCACACTTTGAGACCCTAGGCTGGCCTATAGCATGGGCTATCCACACCAGCACACTAAACCCAGCACGCAGAATGAGACCAGCATATCACAGCCCAAAGGAGACTAGACTAGTGTGTGTCACAGGCAGCGGCTAGGGGGAACTCCAGTGCCTGAGATCCCCAGAACTGACAGGGAAATAATGAAATGTGATAGTAAGATAATCCTAGTGACCCACATGCTGCTGAGGAAGGTGAAACCTCCCCACAGACATTGCGAATCTGACCCGGGGGGGAATTCCTTCCTGACCCTACAAAAGGTGATCAGATAGACCAGGCCTAGGCAAAATATCCGGCCTGCCAAGCCGCCCGATCCAGCTCATGGACACAGCAGGGAGCCTCATGCCCCCTGCTGTAAAGCTGCTGCCCCCCTCCCAAGTAGGGGATGGAGGGTGCAGATTCTCAGGCTTTGTGGGGCACCAGATTTCACAAGGACGATGCTTTTCTTCTCCTCAGGTCACTTCTAGCACTGCCTTAGGGTACGTCTAGACTACATGCCTCTGGCGACAGAGGCATGTAGATTAGGCTACCGGACATAGTAAAATGAAGCAGCGATTTAAATAATCGCCGCTTCATTTAAATTTACATGGCTGCCGCGCTGAGCCAACAAACAGCTGATCAGCTGTTGGCTCAGCGCGCTAGTCTGGACACTCCCGCGCCGACCTGAAAGCCCTTTATCGACCTCCCCGTTATGCCTCGTAGGGTGAGGTTTACCGGGGAGGTCGATAAAGGGCTTTCATGTCGGCAGGGGAGTGTCCAGACTGCCCCGATCTGCCGAGAAACAGCTGATCGGCAGAGCGGGGCAGCCATAGCTGATCAGCTGTTTGTCGGCTCAGCGCGGCAGCCATGTAAATTTAAATGAAGCGGCGATTATTTAAATCGCCGTTTCATTTTACTATGTCCGGTAGCCTAATCTACATGCCTCTGTCGCCAGAGGCATGTAGTCTAGACGTACCCTTAGTAGCCATCATCTTCTCTTCCTAGACACCCACGGAAACACTGATCTCCACTGTTAGCAGCTAGCTGAATACCCACAGCTACCATGGGACAACTCTCATGAGTCATGTAAGAGCTGCAGGACTGGCCCCTTCATTGTTTTTGCAAAAGCAACTCACAATGTTTCCAGAACCCAGCAAAACCATAAGCCATTGGTCTGGGCTATTGTCTAGAATGTTAACTCAAAGTTTTGTTTCCTGTCAAGAGAGCTTCAGGTAGCTCAGGAAATGGTGTCTGTTTCTAAGAAATCTGCCTTTTGGTCATTGTCTAACCAAACTTGTGGTCTTTTAATGGCATCTTGTATATTTTACTGTAAACAGTAAAATCGGCCATGAGGAACTGACCCATGACAGGTGTTTGACAGAGATGGTTCTTCTGATAACCCTATTGCATTCAGTTCTTTTTTGAGACAAACAAAGGGTCACTCTAGGCCAGGTCTACACTAAAAGGGAATGTCAAATCAAGATACGCAACTCCAGATACATTAATTATGCAGCTGGACTTGACGTATCTTGATTCGAGTTTCCCTGCTGTCCACTCAATGGGAGACCAATGGGAGCAAATATTTATTTATTTAGATATTTTTACCCCGCCTTTCTATTTAAAATATTCAAGGCGGCTTACAAGAACAAACAAAAAAAATACGAATATATATACAAATTTAAAATATGAGAATTTAAAATATGAGACCTCAGAGGGACATAACCAGCTAAAAACATATAGAGAGGAGGAACACACACATACAGACTCAAACATTAATAAAAGCACGAGTAAAAAGGGTGGCTTTAGCCTGACACTGAAACAACGCTAGCGTTGGTGCCATGTGAATATCCCAAGGAAGAGAATTCCATAGCCTGGGAGCAAAAGGTGAGAATGCCCTGTTCTGCGTAGATGTTAATCTTATCTCCACAAGTGGGGGAACACGAAGCAAAGCCTCCCCAGCTGACCTCAATCCCCGAGCAGGTTCATATGGGAGAAGACGGTCCCCTTCAGATACCCTGGACACAACTCATTTAAGGCTTTATAGGTCATAACTAAAACCTTAAATTGTGCCCGGAAACATACTGGAAGCCAGTGCAGCTGCCGAAGCACTGGCATAATATGCTCTGTATAACTAGTGTTAGTTAAAACTCGAGCAGCCGAATTCTGGACCAGCTGAAGTTTCCGAAGGTTCTTTAGAGGCAGCCCTACATGAAGTGCATGACAGTAATCTAGTCGGGATGTAACAAGAGCATGGATCACTGTGGCCAAGTCATGTTTGTTCAGGAAGGGTCGCAGCTGGCAGATCAAATGAAGTTGCCCAAAGGCACTCCTGGCCACCAACGAAATCTGATTTTCAAATGTTAAAAAAGGTTCCAGGAGGACTCCCAAGTTACATACCTGTCTAGAACAGGTGCCATGCCACATTCACAAACAGATGGCCTCCTGATCCACAGGACCTCACTCTTATCTGGGTTCAACTTCAGCTTATTTGACTTCATCCAAACCATCACTGCCTCCAGACACCAATTTACATCAGTCGCTGCCACACCTGGTTCTAATGTCACAGGGAAATAGAGTTGGGTGTCATCTGCATATTGATGACACTGTCCTCCAAAACTCCTTATGACCTCTCCCAGCGGCTTCCTGTAGATATTAAACATCATAGGGGACAAGATGGAACCTTGTGGGACCCCATAGCACAATCGCCACGGGGTCGAATGGCAGCCCCCTAGCTCCACCTTCTGAAAGCGTCCTGACAGGTAGGACCGGAACCATTGCAAAACAGTGCCTCCAATACCCAACTCTGCCAGGCGTCCCAGAAGGATATCATGGTCAATGGTATCAAAAGCCGCTGAGAGGTGTAGGAGAATCAACAGGGTTGCACTCCCCTTGTCTATCTCCTGGCGTAAATCGTCTACCAGGGCAACTAAGGCTGTTTCAGTTCCAAAACCCGGCCTAAAGCCAGACTGAAATGGATCTAAGTAGTCTGTTTCTTCCAAGAAAGCTTGGAGTTGCAAGGGAATATTAGCAATTGTGCGATAGTTATTTAAATCATGTGGGCCCAGGGAGGTCTTCTTGAGTAACGGTTTTATCAAGGCAGCAGGAACCATGCCAGTTCTAAAAGACGCATTAATAATCCCCTGGACCCAGCCAGTTATCCTTTCCTGGCTAGATTTAATAAGCCATGAAGGGCAGGGGTCAAGTGAGCATGTGGTCGGTCGCACTCCTCCAAGCACCTTGTCCACATCCTCAGTCTGCAATAGCTGAAACTGATTCAGAGAAAAAAGACTGGGTGGTACACTCAACACATACTATGCCGCACTTGCACAGCAACCAGAGTCTAAATCCAACCGGATGCGGGCGATCTTATTTGCAAAATGCTTTGCAAACAGATTGCAGCAGGGGGCCAAAGGCTCCTCTATTTCGTCATGAGTGCCGGACTGCAACAGGCCCCGCACTACTTGAAACAATTCTGCTGGATGGCATTGTGCAGATGCGATATGGGTGGAGAAGTAGCTTTTCTTCGCTGTCAGCACCACCACAGAGTAAGCTCGCAGTTCAGCTCTAACCCACAGTCGATCAGACTCAGCTCTAGTTCTCCTCCAACGGCGTTCTAGCCATCGCACAGACTGTTTTGCTGCCATCAGCTCCCCAGAAAACCTGGGAGCAAACTTGGATCAACTGGTCCGAAGAGGGTGCTTAGGAGCAATCATATCAACTGCCCGGGCTACCTCGGTGTTCCAAGTATCAACTAGGGTATCTACAGGACCATTCGCCATAATGGCTGAACAATCCTTCGGGGACCTCAGAAAACCCTCCGCCTCTGTGGAGGGGAAGATCAGCAGATAGTCTAAACTTGACCAGGTAGTGATCAGTCCATGACAAAGGGAGTGTAGCCACATCCCTTATCCCAAGAATTCTAACACCCGCAGTCCAAAAAATCAAATCGAGGGTATGACCTGCAACATGTGTTATACTCTCATCCACGTCCCTTACTCACAGAAGCACGCATACCAGATGTTAACTGGGGCACCCTCTGAGTTTGATTTAGCGGGTCTTAATTAGACTTGCTAAATCGAACTTTGAAAGATTGATCGCAGCAGTGCTGATCTTCCATTTAGGGTTAAGATGTTTTCCAAGACGGGTGGCATCTTGTATCGTTTTCATTGTGTATAGAACAGAGATAAAGTGTGTGTGTGTGTGTGTGTGTGTGCATGTGTGTGTGCATGTGCGCGCACACACACACACACATGCACAAGCCTCTTCTTTGGGTGGATTGGGACTGACATGTAGACCTGAACTCAGGTTCAAATTTAGCAGTGACACAAGCACAGATCCAAATAAAGCAATGGAGCTCTCTGAATGGAAACTGTAATTTATGACAGTTCCATTGCCTAGGGACTCTGAACTGGGAACATTTGTTTTCTCTGAACCATGTCTCAACCACCGGTGGCTGAAATGTCTCCAGAGTTACAATCACTCACAGTTATGAATTTTCCCCCTGATCAGAACCATGAAACCCCAAGCCTGGAATTGATTTTTTCCATCAATAATAAGTCCTTAGATGAGCTGTTAGATTCGCCAGAAGTGGAAGTGTTTCTTGAACCAGATATAAAGTAAATGGGCCACTATGCAAACTTCTCCCATGTCCTATAGCTGTGTTCAAAGCTGCTGGTTTGGACTGAAATGTATTGGTGGAGCCAGATGTATAAGGAAGAGCCACGTGGAGAAAACTTACTCAGGCCAGGTTTACACTAGGGCTATGTCTAGACTGCAAGCCTCTTTCGAAAGAGAGCGTCTAGACTGCACGCGGAACTTTCGAAAGAGCAAGCCGCTTTTTCGAAAGAAAGCACCCAGTGAGTCTGGATGCTCTCTTTCGAAGAAGCCCTATTTACATTCAAGAACGCCTTCTTTTGAAAGAAGCACTTTCGAAGGAAGGCGTTCTTCCTCGTGAAATGAGGTTTACCGCCGTCGAAAGAAAAGCCGCGTTCTTTCAATTTAATTTCGAAAGAACGCGGCTGCAGTCTAGACGCAGGTGAAGTTTTTTCGGAAAAAGGCTACTTTTCCCGAAAAAAAACCCTGAATCTGGACACAGCCTAGGGGATAAGTCCAAATTAAGATACACAACTCCAGCTACATTAATTGGGTAGCTGGAGTCAACATTCCTTGATTCCAGCTTTGGCGCCATCCCCACAGAAGAAGGGAAAAACACTCCTGCTGACTTACTCCTTGCAGAGAGTAGGAGTACCGACAGGGGTACCCTCAGCATTAAATTTAGCAGGCCCTTACTAGACCCGCTAAATCGAATGCCAGAAGATCGATTTCCAGAGCCTGGATCCACAGGTAAGTATAGACATGGGTCCAATCAAGAGCACTGAGATAAAGCCACCAAAATAAGATAATTTAAAAAGAAACAGAAAACAGCCCCACAATTGTTCTCAATCTCTGCTAAATTCTAGTCAGCTTTATTGATATATTAATCTGAGCGAATGTTTATTTTACCTTTACAAAAGGTCACAGTAAGATTTTTTTTAAAAATACAGAGCGAAAAGGGAAATGCAATGCACAGAATGACAGCTTCCAAGCACTCCCACCGCAGGGAGCAGCAACAGCCTTTGCTTTGCTGGCAAGTTGGAACAGGGAGGATATCTACTTTAACCGGATCCAGGGAACTCCCATGAGAGCCCAGAGCAGTAACTGTGCCAGAAAACCATCCTTTTGGGCCCATTCCCTCTGGCATCTCTATTTCACCCACCTCCCACCCTCACTATGGATCTCTGCATTCCCCAGAAGGAGCAGAACAAGCCTCCGTCTCTTCCTCATTTTTATAATTGTGCTGATGTGTTTTAGCCCTGCCAGGGCAAGTCATGTTAAATGTATCAGAATTAATGGGGAACTGATCAAATGTCACATGGTGGAGGGTGAAGGAAGCAAGACTGTATTGGTTTTCCTGAGCAAGAATGACACTTTGAATCTTGGTCTGAAAGGCATTTGGAAAGCATCAAATGCTGTACAGAAACCAGCCACACAATGCCTCTATTACAGATAGGGAAACAGGGACATTGATTAAGTGACTTGCCCGAGGTCATGCAGAAAAACAGTTGCAGCATTAGGAGTCTGGACTCCTCATCCTGCGCAGTGTGATAACTCTACAGTCCTTTCCACTTGGGCTCAGTCTACACTGGCACTTTATTACGCTGTAAGGCTATGTCTACACTGCACCCCTTTTCCAGAAAAGGGATGCAGATTAGACACTTTGGAATAGGCAAATCCGCGGGGGATTTAAATATCCCCCATGGCATTTGCATTAACACGGCTGCTGCTTTTTTCCGGCTTGGGGATACGCCGGAGAAAAGCACCAGTTAACGTGATTCTCCAGAAAATAAACCCTTTTCCGGAGGATCTCTTATTCCTAATTGAAAGTAGGAATAAAAGATCCTCCGGAAAAGGCTTTATTTTCCAGAGAATCATGTCTAGACTGGCGCTTTTCTCCGGCTTATCCCCAAGCCGGAAAAAAGCAGCAGCCGTGTTAATGCAAATGCCATGGGGGATATTTAAATCCCCCGCGGATTTGCCTATTCCTGATGTGCTACCTTAGCATCCCTTTTCCGGAAGGGATGCCAGTGTAGACACAGCCTAACTTTCTAGCTCAGGAGTATGGAACTCTGCCCCACCCCACAAATGCAGCAAGTTACAGCGCTGTAAAGCATCAATGTGAACCAGGTTCTGGTGCTGGGAGCCGTGCTCTCAACCCTGTTAGCTACTCCCCTTATGGATGCGTTTTACATAAAGTTTACACTCAGTGGCAGTATGATAGTGGCACACTGAAATATGGGAAAGTGCCGGTGTGAGGAACTCAACAATCAGCCTGAATGATTATTGAATGTGCGGTCAGGAATTGTACAGGTTGAACCTCTTTAGTCTGGCACTCTCTAGTCCATCAACATCCATGGTCCAGCATGATTTCAGCTAGCCGGCAGTCCACTTATTGTGGCTGTGGCCAAGTTTCCCATAAAGTTTGTTTGCAGCCACCAGTCCTGGTTCTCAGTGTTCTGTGCTGTTATTTAGCTCTAATATACCCCTTAATGTCTTCTAAGAGCCCAGGAAGCAATGGAAGTGCTGGTAATGCTGCTAGACAATATTGACCTCCTACGGTCCAGCACATTCTCTGGTTCAGCCTAAAGAGGTTCAACCTGTAGAGACAAATAGAACTGCTTTGAAAATACTTCCCAGCTGAGGAGAGTCCTCTGTTGAGCAAGCCTCATCACTGGGACTTCATTCATTTATTTTTACTTGTCTGGACAGCTAAATATAACAAATGTTATTATCATTTAATAAGAAAAATGAAATTTCTCTTTACCACGCATTCAAATTTCCAGTGCTTGTCTTATCAGCGTCACTTCCTTATCTCCCCAGACATCAGAGGAGGAAACTGACATCCTGGTTTGAGGTAGGTGGTATTTGCATTTTCTTTATATGAAGTCTGACTCAGAAGCTCAGGTTCAGGGAGCTTTTAGTCATCAAGAGATTTCGCTCCAAGGTTATTGTTCTTTCCTGGAAGCAGACGGGGGAGGTGGAGGCAGAGTGGGAAACTACATAGCCATCTGATGGTTGACACCGAGTCTTAGCCAGAGACCCACATCTTCAGCTGACACAAATCAAGGTAGCTCCGTAGAAAGAGGAGGAGACTCCCAAAGATTAGGAGTTGGCCTTTTAAATTGAATTAAATGATGGGGGGGGAGGGGCACTCATGCTACCAGTGTTGGTTCCCTGTGAAAATCTGAGGTTCTAGCTTAATATAATTTCTCATAAAACTTCTGGGGCAAGAGCATCAGCTGGGGTACATCAGCGTGGCCCCACAGAAATCACTGGTCACATCCATTGCACTTTGCCAACTTATACTAGATGAAGAGGTAAACTTGGAGGCACAATTTTCTCTTGGCTTTGCCCCAGAATACAAGTCCTGGCTTTGTTGGGTTTTCCCTATTCTTCTTCTGGTTGCTGCAGAAGCTGGGGAGGATAATTTACAAAGCAATAGCTTCACAGTTGGGATTGCCCAGACCTCAGGTGGGAGTTTCTGTTTTTAATTGACTATCCCTCAAATAAAAATGGCTTCACGGGAGAAAATCCTCCATGGAAACAAATATTCTCTGAGGTGAGATGCCCCCGTGTTTTCCCCTAGCTAACCCACAGCTCTTGCTCTGCTGAACAACTCTCTGCAAGGGCCTTTCTTTGATTGTCCCCACAGCGGGGCTCAGAGACACTGACGCGCAGCACCAGTCTCCGACTGGAAACGATACAGGGACAGGAGGTTTGTGAAGAAATTCGCACCTTCCACACAAGCATCCAGGAAATCCTGTTTCCACCACAGAGAGCAAAGCACTTCACACAGTCAGATGGAACTCCCCTTTCCACCTACAGATGGAAGGCAATTCAGCACGAGAGGAATGAAAGTATGGTCGAGCGCTGTATTGCACACTCTATATGGCCCTTCAGCCACACTTCATGTAAACCCAGCAGGCACATCTGCCAGACTGGCAATGCAAATGATGAAAACTACAATGAAGTTCCCCAGGGACATATTGTCATGTCCAGGACAGAGGCCTCCTACAGGGACCCTGACACTCCATGGAAATGTAACTTGAGAAGGGAGGAACCTCAGGGTCATGAGCAAGTGATGCCTAGGGAAATAATCAGATCTGGATACACTGGTCCCAGACTGAATCCAAAAGACCCTTGACTCAGAGAAGGGGGAACATGCCGCTGGGGCTCTGGCTGCATGAAATGTCACCTTGCGCTGGTTCTTCCTCAATTTCTAACACAAAGTCGGTTCCCAAAGCCCACTTTTCAGCGCTAGGTTTAAAATTGCACCTTTGCCCCCTTTCCATTTCTATGTTTAAAAAGACAAGCCCGGCTCTGCTCTGCTTGTAGCAGCTCGCACACCACCTTGCAGCTTCAGTGTGGCTCCACAGAGGAGCAATAGGAGGGTTTTCCGTCCACGGTTTTGCCTCCATGTTCTTCCTCTGGGAACTGGCAACTGTAGGAGTCTTCGACCAGGGTGCATGCAGGCATCAGGTTGCCATGGTCAGGCTCTGCCCAGGGAATGAGCAGATGTTAGGGTTGCGGTTGTAAGGAACAAAGCCGTGCACCGAGGAAGCAACATTTCATGGGGAGGCCTGACAGGTGCCCCACATGTGGCGATGAATGAGCCCACACTTGCTGCTCAGCCTGAGGAGTTAGGGTTTTGTATCACCTCAGAGCTTGGAATGAGTCCAGGTGACATCCACAAACATCTGAGCTGCGGCAACCCATGTGGAAAATCCATGTGAACACCTCAACCCAGTGGCTAGTACCACCTGCTTTGAAGTGCCTGCCCGGAAGTAGAACACATAGGGAACCCACAGGCCAGGCACTCTGCCAGGGATTGCCTCATTTCTGCCTTCAAATGGCTGAATCATCAGCCTGGAAGGACATGTCTGGCACGTTGTAAATAACACTGGGGCAGATTGACACTCAGGGTGTGTCTACACTGCAGGGAGCCCCTTTGTGGCAGCGAGTCTCAGAGCCTGGGTGATAAAGTAGCAGTGTATACATTCGGGCTCTGACTCCCTCCCCCCACACTGGCTTTTGGAGCCCAGGCTGAGCCCTAACTCTACCCTGGTCCTCTTCGCCCGGCAGCGGGAGTCCCGCAAGTCCAGCAGTTGACCCAGGCTGTGACACACTTTGCCAAGGGGCTTTTTCTTGCAGTGTAGACATACCCTAAGGTCCCTTTGCTTTGCTCAGACAGGGTGAGGAAGTCTTCAACTATGTGTGAATGTGGTTACTCCCACTTACAAGCCTCACTGCACTTCTGCCAGGGTGTCATTGCACTTAGTGCAAATGAAAATTTGACCCTCGGTGGTGGGAGGGGGGCTCTGTTCTATATAGAGACCAAGATTCTGAACTAGATTATACTTTTCCAAGTCCTGGCCATATAATCTCTGCTTGTTTCTTCCTCGCACACACACTCACTCTGCAGGCCACAAATACTTGTGCACACAGTCTGATCACACAAAACCAGCTCCCCTGCCGCTTGCTGCTATGTAAGCAAACCGAGAAGCAGCACCTCTACCTCCAGAGAGTCTGCTTCATTGACACACATTGCATCTGTAGCCACACAGCCCCCATTACTCTCCAAAGGGTTGCCAGATGATTTAGCAAAAAATACCGAACACCCTCCCCTCCAAAAAAAACCACTGGGGAAAAAATTCTGTTGAGAAAAAAAAGGGAGGAGACCAAAATTGTTGAGCCAAAAAGAAAAGAAAAGAAAAAGGGGGGGGGGGGGCACCCCAAAACGGAAAAAAAAAACAAAAAAAAAAATTAAAAA